GCAAAAATTGAAGTCGTGGAGGAATGGCATGGCAGCAGCTGGAACGCTTAGTACAGATGAATATTAGGCTGCAGAAATTCTGTGGTTGCGCGAGATGCAACAAGCAGTGGTAGAATCCCCTCAACTCGAGAGCTTCAAGAAACAGTTGCCAAGACATTAAGACTGCTGCAAGATTCTTGTCATCCATTTTTGAGCTGCCGGAAGTGCAGAGTTTTCTTCCAAACCACAAGGTGAAGTGGAAATTTAATTTAGAACGAGCCCCGTGGTGGGGTGGTTTCTTTGAGCGCATGGTTCGATGTGTTAAACGTTGTCTGAAGATCTTAAAGAATGCCAAGTTGACATATGAAGAGCTCTTGACTCTCGTCGTAGAAATTGAATGTGTGTTGAACTCCAGACCACTCACATACGTGTTTTCAGAGGATAGAGTGGAACCTCTCACCCCTTCTCATTTGTTGACGGGAAGAAGATTACTGTCCATTCCTGATGAATCTATAGTCGCCGAAGAAGAGTCAAGTGATGTTGAAATTCTCACCAGGAGACAGCGTTATGTAACGTCATTGTCGTCCCACTTTTGGAGTCGATGGAAACGAGAGTACGTGGTAGAACTGCGAGAACACCACAGAGCATTAGAGAAGGGAGCTGCCAGCAACTCACCATCAGTTGAGACAGGTGACATTGTCACTGCGATGGAAGAAGGAATGTCTAACCGAGGAATGTGGAAGCTTGGAAAGGTTGCAGATGTGTATCCAGGAAACGATGGTGTAGTAAGAGGAGCCACGGTAGAAGTTGCCTCAAGCAATGGCAAGCGAAAGCCTCTACAGAAACTGTTTCCGTTAGAGGTTCGCGAAACTAGTGATGCAGATGGAGAAGAGCCTGCTAGACCAATTGCCTGCCCTCCAGAGAGACAAAGGAGGCAAGCCGCCATTGAAGGAGAAATGAGAAGAGAAGTCGATCAGTGTCTGGACGAACTGAAAGACTATGATGAACACTGATCGAGGGGGAAAGATGTTTTTAACTTTACGAACTCTGAACTCACCCCTCTCGCCTTAGTACGAGTTTTGTCTGCGCGCGTAATTTCAGGTGATTTTAATTAGCCAATCGCGGCCCAGAATGTGTTCGCGCGTACATTTGAACTTCGCTGTCGTAATTTTGCAGATTTTCATCTTTGTTGTATTTTCTTGCCGTGTTTAAGATTTTAGGCCAGCCTTGCCGCTGTTTTTGGAGTTTTGAGTCTGGCTTCTTCGCCATTTTTAGCCATTGTGATTCGCCGTTTATTTTATGTTCCGGATTACGTGACTGGTTCATGAAACAGTTCGTATATTTGGAGTCTGAGCCTACAACTCACTGGATTCAATTCCCAACAATATCCTCAAATGCGAAGATATCATGTTTGATAACATTTCCCTTTTGTCCCTTTAACTACACGTAAATTTGTTGGTGTATGATCGAAACATCCTCGGATCTTCTTCGGTCGTCTTCGGCAATATTCGGCAATTGTTCGGAAATGCTCGGAAAATGCTCGGAAACGTTCGTCTGGCCTTCGGAAAAATTTTGGAAAATCTTCGGAAATCTTCGGAAAATCGTCAAAAACGGCGTCATCAGCATGTCTATATAATAAAAAGAACATTACACGTTTGCTCGAAGATATGAATTTTATGTTCTCGTGGTAAAAATAGTTCTTGCCACTCGAACAGAAAATTCATATCTTCTCGCCACCGTGTAATATCCTCTGTATATTGAGGGTTTCAAATTGAAAATTAAAATTAAATATCACGTAGAAAAATGCATTTCCACCAAGTATATACACATATTGTTAGGACTATGGTCATATATTGTCAATTGCTAAAAACAGCAATTGCGCGGCTGTTTTAGCTGCTCTTTGAATTCTGTAATGTATTTTTGTTGTAACGGAAGTCAAATCTGTAAGTTAGTGGCCTTTTTTCTGTGGCGTACTGTAAGTTTTGTTGTATGCAATGCGTAGATACGTAATCTATAGACTGTTTTGTAACTGTAGTGTAAGTTCAAATGTAATTGTTTGAGCGACCTTCGGGACCTTTCTGTAGATCACCTACGGGTGAGAAAGCTTCCCGTTAAAATATCATTATTAAAATAAAAAAGTGATTAACCAGATCTCTTTGATGCAGAAAACAAATGTCATTTCCCATTTGTTGTCAGTTAAGCCAGAATAAAGTTTTAAATTGTATATTCATTCTCAATTTAGTTCGTGACTGAGAAGTGCTTTGCAATTGACATTCGATATTTTGCACGAGTAACGGAAGCCGCAAGGAGTATTTTTGTCGACTGCAATATAGATTTTGAAGACACCTTTCTAAGAGGCTTACTTGCTTCAAATCATGATATCAAGAATAACAATCGGTCTGACTTACCCATGTCAATGTAGTTCGTGACTAAGAGTGTTTCACAATTGAAATTTGATGTTTTACATGCGTACAGCTATCCGCAATTTTTTTAAACCGAATGTCCATTTTGTAGCGCTTAATTATGCTAGGTTAGTTAGTTTTGTGCGTTTCAGATCTATCGAATACTTAAAGTGGCAAAACCCAAGGAAAACAACTTTTTACAAAGATTTAGTCTTCGGAACAAAAGTTACAAACAAAGTTTAAAACCTTAGCAATCTGTTATCAAGGCCAGGTGTCGAAGGTCTAAACAGATGCACCAATGAACGGTGTTACCCGGCCACTAAACCCTACGATCAGCGATACCCCTGAAGGTTATCCAGGTTAGGACATACATCATTGGCGGCTTTAGTTTGTTTCAGATCTATCAAATACTTCAGGTGGTAGAACCCAGTGAAAACACCTTTCTAAGGAACAGACTTGCTTAAAGAACCACAGAACGATCAAATAAACATCAGTACAAACAAAGACCAACCCTAGAAGCACAGTTCATTAATTCTATCGTTGGTTTCAGAGATCCGAACGACAAATCGGCAAAATTAAAATGATAGAGTGCTTTTCACTGGTCAGCGGATTAGCAAAGAACTTAACAACAATCCAAAGAGTGATTGTGTGAAATCGGAAGTGAAAATAAAGGTTAGCCCCAATCGCGAGATTAAATAAGGTTTTTGTGATCTTTATAGCTTTAGTCTTTCACAATTACTTCTGACAGTTCACATGGAATGGCTTTTTCGAGTGCTGAAATTTATTTAAGATTTTTATAGAGCATTTTCACTCTCGAGGCCAGCAGCCATGCAAATTTATTGAAAAAATAAGAAAGTGTTCACATATGAAAAGAGTTGAATACCCACAAGATTGGTTTGGGACACCAACCTCTGTTTCATTGTTTTTGGACACCAACATAGCTACCGTGAAGTTATGTGAATACGCTCCATAGTGGTAAAGGAACTGCGTATCTTTTTGAATTACTAACAAACTTACAAGTCACTACTTGACTAGTCAATTCTAAGTTGAATTTCACTTGAAATAAACCAATATCACACATTGGTTTTTCACTTGACATTTACCTAGAAATTGCCGTCACTATAAGCTAATCAAACATGCCGGAAAAAGAACAGGGAGAAGAATTTTAATTTTAATTTTTTTTTGAATAAACGTTACATTGAGGCATAGTACATAAAAATAACTATTAAATCAGCTGTTGAATCTAATTATGAATCAACAGGATCTTTACACTCTGTTTTTAAATATCTTGAGCTTTAGTTTCCTTCTATCTGTACCCCATCGTCTACCTCCAAAGTCGACATGAATTGTCTTTGCTACCTGTTGCAAAGTCATGAAAAATAATGCATTTAGGGAATGGCCTTCCTGCTTCAGTGTAGACACCTTCTTATTATATGGCTGGCCCCGTGAGCGGACAAGATGAATCAAATCCTGCGCTGTGATTGGCTACCCGAGCGGGCAAGATGGGGCTATCTTGCCCGCTCGGGTCTACCCTCCGTGTCCCGCAAGAAAAATTTCTCCGAAAGCCATATAATAAATCCTTTATTGACCAAGCTTGTTCGGTCAAGATGGCTGGATATTGGCTTCGTTCTTTTTTTGCGAATTTCTGGACCTCGACTCCGTCTCGGTCAATAAACACGCAAAAAAAGAACTTGGCCAATATCCAGCCATCGTGACCTCACACTTGCTCAATAACCCATACATATTAGTATTAACAACCCACTGATCAATTCCCATTCTCATTTTACATATCACACTTTATACCACGCCATAGTAAATTCAGCCAATCAGAATACACGAAAGCCGTTGTATAGTCGACGGTATTACATCCAACCTTCCCATCGTGCGCCTCACGTAAGTCGCATTGATTGTGTTAGCCATTCTATTTTCCATGGCATGGTATAAAATAGTTATTCAACAGCGCTCTCTCGTGGTATACCATGGAATAACCCTCTTGTCACTTCTATTTTCTTGCCATACACACGAGCCTTTCGAGAAAATACATGTGGCTCGTGGGATATTCCAAGGTATACCACTCGAAAGCGTTGTAAAACTTGTATATATAACACAAATTAGAACTGAGGGTATCAAACAATATACCCTGCTCGATTCGATACCATCGTCGGATTTTACAAAAAGAGAACGAACAAACTAAGCATAAAGTCACCTTAACATGTGTATTTAATGCTTTGCGGTAGGAAATTATGGGTATGTATTTGGAAGGCATTTGCATGGTTTAATAAAGCCCATTGTGTCACAATAACAATTTCCTTTGTTTTAGTTCTCTTAGCCTCAGAAACATGTTAGAATTTTAATACATTGAAACTGGTCTACTGTAGAAATTTATCAAAGTTAAATCAAATAGTTAAATAGAGTCAATACAGGATAAAGAAAAGGAAAAAGAAGCTTTGCTTCTCAGCAGGACAAAAAGTTTCAATGGTCAATTACTAAACATAAATAGATTCTAAAGAAACTGTTGCGGCACCGTGTCGGTTGCAACTGAATTCTTAGCTTATCACCAAAATGACTGAAAAGGTAGGGCTTGCGCTGGAAATGTCTGTCCACAGACCCACTATTTTGTCTTGAGCGAAAGATTAATTATTTATTGTTTATTTTATGCAGGACCCATATTGATAGCAGTTTTTATAACTGAAATGGTCATCCTGCATAGATACGTTTCATATCATTATATATAACTGCGGGAGATATGAACGAGCCAAAACACAAGGGGCTGGGGCTGGGGAAAGACATAACTAGAGGGTACATGGACTTCTTTTGAGAAACTGAATAGCCGTTTCTCCACAAACGGAAAATCCCATTGGTTAAAAGGCCATTAACCAGTCATCACCATGTCAATGCCCCATCACACGCACGTCATGCGGTTTGAATCGGTTGTCATCTTGGACCCACACAATCGACAAGTAAACAAAGTACTTCAATCGAAATTGAGGCCCCGTCCATATGTACCAGGAAATTTTTGAAAACGAAGATTTTTCTTCCGTTTAAGCCTTTTGTCCACACCTAAACGGCGTTTTCGAGCGCCGAAAACGGAGGTTTTCGAAAACGTTCTCGAGAGTGGATTTTTCAAAAATACCGGCTTATCATTTTCCTATGGACGAACATAAACGGAAGTTTTCGAATACGCTGACATCACAGATCGAGTCCAGTCTATCCCGGTCCACGTTCTCCAGCGTGAAAACTCAGACAACTTGTGTCTTTGTTACTTGGGCTTCTTTCAATCCTAATAGCATGCATACAGTTGCATTTCACACTGTTAAATCTAAAGCTGACTTTGCCAGGAAGCAATTGAACAAAATAAGGATGCTTTCCATGCCTGTGTCGAGAACAAGGGCTGCAAAAACACGTCCTAAGATTTGAAAGGGGATCGACGCGCAAACATGAGTAAACACCGCACAAAATGACGCCAATAGCTGCTTGTTGGCTCATGTTACTAGCATCGCGCGCATGCTTTTTAAGGGACAATCTCGTATTTCCGGCGTTTTAACGTTATCGTGTGGACGGACGACTACGCTTTGTGCGAACGCTTATTTTTTGGGAACGAGAAAAAATCTCTCTTTTCGAAAATATCCGGAAACGATTTGATTTGATTTGAATTCCGAGCAGTAAAAATAATTTGTTTGCTTGGCGATGCCGTCGCTATTCTTCCCACTGGTTTCGAAAAGATCTTAACTTAGTAGCTGTTTCGTCTGCCAGGCAGTAACAGATGACTTCTTTTAGCTGTTTTTTTTTTTCGGTGTTGAAGTAGTCTGCGAAGACATCCTTCAACACGCGAGCGAGTGAGGCGACACTGATTGATATTTACTCATTTAGATCCTTTTAGATTTTGTATTAAAAGTCAATTACGCGATTTCATTGTCCCTGGGCGACAGTGTTAAAGATAAGGTGATGACACGGGGGAGGAGACTTCCAGAGAAGTCCACGTATGTCTTCGCGGTCGTTCTCACACTCCGTGTTCCCTCTCGCGCGCTCGAAGAAAAATACAGACTTGCGGCGAAAAAATGTCTTTGGACAGACTAATTCAGTATGGCAGTTCATTTACTTTACCAAATCGTAGTGGATAATTAGCTAAGTGTTAAACAAAACATCGGCAAATATGGTAGGAGGGATACAAAAGGAAGATATAAAAGTCATTAGTCCAATAACCTCAGGGAAACAATACACATGGTTTATACATGCCAGATTTTGGTTCCAGATTTCCGAGATTGTTTGGGTAACCGCCTTGAGCCATAACTTGTGCTCAGTTTCCAAAGGCGACTATTAACCAACTGTAACTCACTTTGCCGGTCACGCAAGCAATCTGACAAATCCTGAGTTTGGTTTTCTAGCCAGTAAATACCGCACTGAGAAAAAATAGAGCCAAAAAGACCCAAAACGATACACTTGTGACATATACGTGAAAAATTACATCAACACTGCTCATAACAGCATTACTTGAGTGATCAGTGTTACCTGTTATTATTATGTTTCCTTCGTAATTGAATGCACAGCTGAAAATCTCATCTGTATGGCCTTCAAGTACCTGATGGGGTTGAAGAAGAGTAGCAAAGGTTAATTCCACTTCTAACGTCACAAAATATTCCTCATTAAGGAACAAGTAAATCTTAAACCATAAAAAACAGACATCTTTCAACAAATCTGTCCACTCAACCTCAACCCACGTTCACATTATCCCTCAGATAGGATTCAATTATAATTACTTCACACGGCCCCACGGGCTTGTTTGATGTTATTACATTGTATGAATGACCAAAATGAGGGATCAGTAAAGATGCATGAACACTAAAGAACACAGTGAGTCTTTAAGACATTAAATTGGTCTACTGCGAAATGCGCAAAACGTTTATTTTGGCCAAGGATGTAAATATAGATATACACGTACATGCAAGTAGTTGTGCTTGAACATGTGCACGTATTTAAAAAAAGAAAAAAAAAATTTTCTGTGTTTCTATCAAGCTATTGAATATGACTTCACTTGGAATCCTACCCGACTATGTATATGAGGGAAAAATAATTTCAACAATGACAATGACATGACGACAGGATGACGAGGATGGTGGTCTGGATGATAATGGTGACGATGACATTATCAACATTTTACCGAGTTTTCAACTATTTCAGAGGAACTGCGCAGTGTATCTCTTAAAACTGTTACTTTTAATCCAGTTACAGCAACTATTAAGTAGAACCAACAGGTATTTGTTTACATCAGCCACTATCATTATAAAATAAATGAATCCCTTTCTGAAGAAGCACATGGACAAAACGAAGGCTGTCTCACGGAAGTGAGTAACTTCCAGCATCGACATTTAAGTGTCCAGTAATTCTCTCTTCATACCTGTACACATTTCCCAGATAATGGGTCCCAAAGTCTGGCTGTTTTGTCACTGCTAGCTGTCAAACATCTAGTGCCTTGAGGACTGAAAGATATCTAATAATACACAATTGAAAACGAAAATCAAACATGGCACAAAAAGACTCACAAATATAGCCTGTTATCAAACAACAAGTAAGGCAGAATGGCCTGTTCACATCACAAAATGTAGTTAAACTTGTTGTATTGCTTAATAACTTGCTTTTCAATTTTTTTTAAAATGTTATATTTCAGCCATCAAATGCTTCCCTCCTGTACCTACATGTAGGTCAACATCTCTGACAAACCACAATACAAGGTAACACTGAAATTTATAGGAAGTTCACACTCGTTCCCTCAATATCAGAACTCAAACTGTTATCTCAACAATAACTAGCATACCTTTGAAATTTCCCCTTCATGGCCTTCTAGTTTTGAAACACAGTGATGAGTAAGAGCATTATACACTCTTCCAGTACCTAGATAAACCAGACTATATTAGGGGACCTCCTGTGCACTGAAGGCGTGCAAGCGGAGCCCCATAGCTAGAATTTGATCACCCATCAAGCTAAAAAATTTAGTTGTCACGTGACTCTCCGTATGTACTTTCGTACGTACGTCCGAACAGGATTTGCTACTTGACACTCGCACGTAGTCAACATACCAATTGCGTTTATGTAGATTTCCTCGTTTTTTTTGGTCAACTCATTTGGTTTAGTGAAATGCTTGTTGTCGAAACTCTTCAAAGGTTATTGTGTCGAGTAAATCTTAATGATTAGCAGTTTATGGGAGCTCCGCTTTTAGGCTTGGCTAAATCTTTTTACTAAAAACTAGATCAGTGATCAACTGGATCAGTTTAAGAGTTTTCATTGCCTTAGCCATATATATAACAGCCATTATATCATGCTCTACAAATATGGTTAGCGTATTGCATAATGTTTTGGTTCATTTTCATTTCTTTTAGTTTTCATTATTTTGGTGGCGTTTTTGATAAAACAATTTTTCCACTCGCTTGTTGGATACGAGATGATTATAGCCAACTTGGCGCTGGGTGCCTCATTGGCTATCTACCATCTCATATCCAACACGCGCTCGTGGAATAATTGTGAAATTATTTCAAGTGAGACATCTTACCATCTGCAGAAGCTGTGGCTACGTACTGACCAGTAAAATCAAAACACACATCCAAAACTTCATCGTCATGACCTCTGCGTGGAATTGAAACAACAACCAACCAAACAAACAAAATCAAGGGTGCTCATAAAGCCACTACATGTAATACAAACAATCAAATGAGAAATAGGATCAGCAGTCCAACCAACGTTAATCGCCATCTACAACTAGGATTATTTAATACAAATATCTATCAATGTATATACTGATGACCTCTTTGCAATGGCTGAATAATTTGGGCCAAAGGTGGCTGTTCTATAGGGAGAGACACGATGAATAAAGTCTCTGAATATAGTGTGCAAGCCCTCGGCAGGATCAATTCATTGTATTGCTTACTCTTACAGTGCCTCTCTGCACAAAAGCAAATGAGTAATTACCAGTAAATGCTACGTGGTTACCAAGTGATGGAAAAGCATTTATTACATCAAGAGTGGAGTAAACGCATTTTTGGTTGATTAATGCTACAGAGAACAGGATTCTCTCTGGCACCTGTGGAAAATGTTTGCCATGCAATCTCCACCATTGTAACTACAATGGTCCATGGAGAAATGCAATGCATTTATTAGTAAATTTTGCTGTCACTTTTTCCTCACACAATAATTATATCTTCTTCCTTGGGTAGTTTGTGTAGTTTAAACCCACCTTTACATACATCATTTTAAGCTGTCGTGAAAAGACAGCATACATCTATATATATAATATTTAACTTTCAATAGATATTTTACTATTTAACAAATATCTCTATTAAACCACTGTGATATATGTTAAATAACAGTCTCATTTCGTACCTTAATGTACCAATACACTGTCCTGTCCTGGAGTCCCAAATTTTGCATGTCTTGTCCTACAAACCAACAATCAGAGTATCGCTTCACTAACAGTGAAATGTACCATTCCAATGACTCTAACAATAGCTTAAGGTGGCTCGATCGGATTTTTGAGTGACGATACCGTTCAACTTTGAGCAACAAGAGCAGCACCATTATCAATACAACAGAAAATGGAACGTTACTGGTGTGCTTGAGAAAATGTGGTACATTTCACCAGGATCTGAGTTACCATAGCAACGAGATGACATGATGCCTCATTTAACATAAGACTGAATAACTTGCAATCAGGGATAATTCTGGAAATACGACGTCGGGATCTCGGACTTGACATGGTTGTCTTAATGATGGCAAAATTTAAAAAAACATCTGTAAAAGCGTTTTCGAGAAAATTACGAGTGAAATTTCAAGGTGTCAACATACAACAAAACCAAACCTGTTTTAAATGTTATTGTTAACTATGTCCACAAGACTTGACTAAATAGTATTCTGGTCTTAAATGAATCTTATAACATCTAATTACCTCGAGTGAAAATCTCAGAGAAATCGCTCCGTTTGACGTTCAGAAAAATTGGCTTGAATATCAACTGGTGTGGGGTGTTATTTTGCTTTCTATCAAAAACTGCCCTTAAACTTACTAAATTGGGCGGGAATTAAAAAAACACTCGATGAATTTGTTTTAGACTTGGCCTTCAATGAGATTAATTCATATTCAATGTAATCCCGGAGTTTCAAATTAATTGAAACATTTTAAGGCTGCTATTTTTCAGCGTCAACTCAGGACTTGAAAATATTGCACTAATTTTCGCTCATGTTGTTTGTTGTCTTTATTATAATGTTCTTTTGTCTCGAATCACCATGCTATTGTACATTTTTGTATATCATGAATTCATAAAATGCGCGATTGCTTTCCGGCGCTTTTCCGAAGCATGCTAAAATATCCCGAGCTAGCAGGACAATAACAATAAAATATAAGTCTTGTTGATGTTTATGTTAAACATAAACAAGACATCCATCATAGTGATTTTCCGCTTGCGCTGACCACTTACCCTCGGCGTGGCCGCGTTAACGCGAGATGAGTGAAAGTGTGACATATTCATCGAGTGTTTTGTTTCATTCCCGCGCGACAACAAACAATGTGACTCGCTCCGCGCGCAAGTATTTGTTTAGGCTTTTGGTTTCAATGCTTTTAAATTCTTTTCACCTTTTTTAGCTTATAATTATAATTTTGTTTTCTTGCAACTATGCATACCATTCGCATTAAGCTTTTTTTTTTCAACTTTTATCGCCTATTGTTCCATATACATATTTCAGCGTTTTTAACCATATAATTTATGCATATGATTTCATACTTTTTTCTAGCTTGAATATTGAAGCTATAGATCTGAAATTTAACAAACATCATCCCTGCATCATTGACTTTAAAACTGTCTTTTTCTGTTTTTGGATTGACTTATTTATAGCTGAGTAATTCGCAATTTTGTTAAGCGTCTCTATGCGCCATAGTTAAAGTCCAAATAATTCCTTCATATTGTCGTGCCACACTACTATAGCTATAGCTCAGTTGGTAACACGCAGGAGCTAGTGCAGTATTGGTTTACTGTCCCGGGGTCACTGGTTCAAATCCAGTACAGAGAGTTTACAAGAAAATCCCTCTCATAATCTCATAACCAAAATATAATGTCTTGACAATAAACTAATTCTATTTGGCTACTTAGATGCAGGAACGTTCCAGCAGTCCAGTACAATGAATTTTTAAGCATACTGACTCTCCTCTGACTTACACAGTCTGATGATCACCTTGTATTTAAGTTTGCTGGCGGGAGCTATGTATAAAATAATCATTTCAAAATCAAAACTTCTGGGCTCTATTGATGCAATATTGCTTCTACCAATAGACAATACTCTAGCCAACTTTGAGACCAGATGTTTGACTATATCTTGTTCGTGCGGTTGCCCGGGTTGGATAATAAATAAACAAACAAACAAACAAACAAATACACAAATAAGTAAATAAATAAATGAAATAAAATCTGAATTGGCACAAATGTCTATATCTAGTAACTGGTTAATAAGTCACAAATACCATTGATCCAGTCACGATAAATGAACTATCAAAGTTGAATTGTGCATTGGAAATTTCCCCTCTGTGACCAATCAGGGTGTGCACTCTCCTGAAAAAGAATATCACATCAGTGATTAAAAATACAATTGAGTTTCTTGAAGTAATAAACCCGGGCAGTTCGAGAATGCGGTTGTAACTTGAACTGGTTGCTAACGAGACTAAGCTCTTGTAAGCGACCACAAGCTGAAACAATTCCTTAGTCTCAAGGCAACACTCATTCTCCAGCTGTAAATTGTCTTGAACTTTTTGTTTAAAATCTTTGTCACCAAATATCGTCAAGCGTTGTTACATGACTATGGTACACAGTCAAACCTGTATTAAGTGGACACCCTTGGGACCCTGACTAGTGTCCGCGTAAAGTGCCTATGAAGTAAAAATTAATTGCTGCTTATTTGAAAGGCCTTTCAGAGTAAAGAAGAATGGCGTTTTCCTTTTTGGAATATCTTTTTTCGTTTTAGAGATATTCACGTTTTTGTATTATGCAAATGAGGAAAACGATGATGTCATACGTGGTTCCACTAAAACAGCACAACACTCAATCGAGTATAACTCCAGAAATATTAAAGCAGTGTTCTTCAAACTTGGCACCAGCAATGTACATCACAAAAGAAACAGAATGAAACCTACTATGTTGTTGCCATGGAAACACTCTTGGCTCCAGTCTCTTTCTTTGAAAAACCAAATATCCCCATTTGCAACCTTTTAAAGTGGGACAGAGGGTCTTGCTCGGAACACACATGGTTTCCATATTGTCGTAACTCTCCCCATTAGATTGGTGGGAGTGGATGATCCTTGTTTAGGATAAAATCCAGGAATTTTAGTCTTAATTAAAACAGAACCAGCGGCATAACTGTTGTCATGGCAACAGCCTGATGGGCATCATTATGTTTCTTTTGTGATGTAAATTTCTGGTGCCAAGTTTAAAGAACACTGCTTTAATATTTTTAGAGGTATTCTCGATTGAGTGTTGTGCTGTTTCAGTGAAACCACCTATGACGTCACCACTCATTTGCATAATACAAAAACGTAAATATCCCTAAAACGAAAAAAAGATATTCCAAAAAGGAAAACGCCATTCTTCTTTACTTTGGAAAGCCTTTCAAATAAGCAGCAATTATTTTTTACTTCATAGGCACAGGGTGCCCGCTCTAAGCAGGTTCTAATATATTGTGCAATAATGGTAATTGACAGTGAAGAATGATCATCGCAGTTAATTTTCCACTGTCACTGTCATCTACAACCGCAGTTCATATATGAATTATTTCATATAAACTTCACAATAATGGTAATTATTAAGCCTTTAGTAACTCAGTGTAACACAGTGTAAGATCAAAGACTGCTCATAGCACAATGTTCAGTCAGTCAATGCATCAATCTGGGAATAATCCAGTTATCTTTCAAAACAACATCGCTGAACAATGTTAAAGGAGTCTGAGCTGAGCTTTCAGAAGTAAAAAGCCCTTAAAGTGTCCACTTATTGCAGGTTTTGTTCAACAAAATGGATAATGTTGGTGTCTGCATCCGCTTAACAGAGGTGTCCGCTGAATGCAGGTTTATTTTACAGTGAATGTAGGAAGAAATTTTTGGGACTCAAGCTAGTGTCCACTTAATAAAGGGTGTTCGCTTAATATGGGGTCCGCCTAATACAGATTTCACTGTATGATCAAGATGTGTACATACAGTTAAACCTCTCCACAACAGCCACTTTGGGGACAGAGGAAAGTGGTGGTTATGGGTAGTTAGGGATGTAATATGAAACCTGTTTCTCTCAGGGGCGCAACATTTTTTTGTCCAAAAAAAAAAATGTTTCTTTTACCATATATAACTCAAAATGTATTAATATAACAGAAAATAAACCGAAACAGAGACCAACCCGTGGAACAGATCAAGTTTGATGATCTTTTACAATAATAAAACATGGTTTTGTATAAACCGTTCGTCAGTTGTTGATTAACTGGCCGTTGCTGAGAGGTCATTTTGGCTGTTGCCGTTGTAGAGACATTAAAATAAGCGTGAATGTATGGACTGTCCGTGAGGACCAAAACAAGTGGCCACTGCAGAGGTGGCCATTACTGGAAGTGCAAGGTCATAATCATACTACAGATTGTCTCGCTAGTTATTTCATATGATTTTGGTGGCGAGCCATTAATAAGAAGAACTAAGAAGTAAAAACTAACCTGCCAGTTGCCGTGTCCCACACACTTACAGTATGATCGAAGGAGCCTGTGAGCAGTTGATCTCCAGTTGTGTTAAATGAACAAGAAATAATTTCTGCTGAATGGCCCTGTGAATGAAAAGAACATTTTAAAATTTCATCTTAAGCTTGGATCACATTTAAGGTGGACTGTATTTTTTCTAACCCTCTATATTTAATGTCAATGGGCTGTCTAAATTTTTCAGAGGTACAACAATCCAGTGATGTTACCATAGCAACAACACCAGGACAAAAAACCTTTAACTTTCCCAATTTACTCATCCACCAGACAGATAATTTGAAGATTTTAGTCAACTACGCATACAATCCACTTGTCCAAAAAAATGACAAGAAAAAAAAATACGTACTAACAAAAGAACAGTAGATAAGTACTTACAGATACTTTTACACTAATCACAGTACCCTGTATATGCAATAGACCATTTTACAGTTGTTTGCTCAGTGACCTGGCCTTTGAATGACAGTGAGGCTGGAGGTGACCTTGTTTTGATACAGATACAGACCTCACTGCTTTTGTAGTGTAAATCAAGTTGTTCTTATGCTAACTAGTTTGCATTTAAAAAAGAAAAGCAGAGAGGTCTGTATCAAAGCAAGGTCACCGCCAGCCTCACTTGCATTCATAGGCCAGGTAACTAAGCACATAACTGTAAAATGGCCTATTCCAGACAAAGTGTACTATACATATTAAACAATTCTTTTAGTCTTATAGTGTAATCTTTACACCCTTTTGACAACATTGGTGTCACTATGCTAAACAACTCTCTGCATGGTTAGGATCTGCAGTTACAGACCAGGAAGGAATATCAAGGCTATAAATGTACCAAGAAAACAGACAGGACAGCTTGTGATCAATATCTCCTACTTTGTACATTATCAAAGTAACATAATATTGTACATAAAGGTTTTGGAAACATGCACAAAAGATTTCAGATTTCGGTATTTTATTGTTTTGCACTATTTACATATTTTTACATCGTGCGAACACAGATGGATTTTTAGCTTTTGTTTGAAAACGAAATCACTTAGTGTCCCAACAAGCACATATGGTTTAATACTTTCTTCTAACTTTCACGCACATCTGCAGCTATACACAGTTTCCGATGTTAGGCCTCCTATCTTTTCTTCATTTTTTCTTCTTTTTTTCTTTCAAAACAAGATGGCTACAGGGCGAAAGTAGCTTCCATCTCAAGCTGCATTGTAAACCCCCTCTCGAGGATATCGTATTTCTTGACAGTATTCAGCTCAAAACACAAAATATGCTGCTTAAATCTTTCATAGAAAACTTTTAAACAGTTCTTCAATATCGGTGCTACTATTTTCACTTGCCTCTCAAGGTCAATGGGGAAGGATTTTTCTCACAAATATCAACTTTGAAAACTATTCATTCAGATAAGTAATCAAATTGCGCACATGCGTAGAAGAGTGTTAAATGCCCTTTAAGCACATTTTCAAATTTGAGATTAAAAGATTGTAGTACTGTGTAGCAGTATCCTTACTGTACAGACACATCTTTTCTGCTTAGTATAATTTTATGCAACCTGGTCTTACAAGCACTACCACAACTTATGATACTATAAGTTTGGTATGGATAAATGAAATAGTAGAATTGCTTCAATATAAGAATATCAGTTCTACATAATATCTTAATTTATTAATAATTAAATGTAGAAATAGCATCAACTCAGAAAAAATCTGAGTTTCAGATGGGATTTGAACCTACAACCCTTCCACGATCTAGCTGGATGCTCTAACCACTGAGCTACTGGAGACTCTATGGTGAGCAAGGGTGAAATGCTTGAATTAAGTTAATGCCATTTCAGCATTTAATATTCCTTATATTACTCACTTTGGAGCCTGGTTATTGATAAATAATTACCCTATTTTTTTCCAAATTTATAATTTAGATTTCCAGCATAAATTTTGGTCCATACACTAAAACAACCAGATACCATGAAACTTGGACAATAGTGGGTAGGATTTAGATCAACTTACAATTCTGTTAACTCAAATAACTTGGAATCAGAAATTGTATATAAAATTGTGCACTCACTGATAGGGTAGATATCTCAGCTCCTTTTTGCACATCCCATAACTTAGCTGTTGTATCCATACTTCCAGTTGCCACCACTGTACTTTGTGGATTGAATGCCACACATACCTAAGCCCAGGGAAAGGAATCAAGTTTTATAGGACAGGGTAGGTACAGCAATACTGTCTTAACAGTAAACTTAAACTTAACTTGATAAAAAGTTATATAGGGAGCCTTCACTCATCATAAAATGTTCCCTCCACTCTTAAGAAGACTATTAATTTTATGAACAAAGTTGTCCCACCAAGCAGAAGACTAGTGCATCCTGGCCAGGGTCCACCCCAGAATCTTTTGGGGTCTTTCTTCTTAACACAGCAATACAGTATTAGCTTGATTTAAGTTATAGTGGAAACCTCAACGCATCCTAAAACCCCTATTTAGTAGTTTGATAACTCCCATTCTTGTGACCAGGAAAACATGCTCCTCAAGGGAATAATTTGGATTGGCTCCCAAATATGTGGTTTCAAGTTATATATATCTATAATAATTAGAAGCATTTGGGGGTTGATGTTATTGCAAGATGTTGGTAGCACACTGCAATTGAGATTGCCCATTTTAAAATACCTTCACTATTACCTTCTCTATTAAAACTGCCAGCAAAAGCTTCAAAATGTTCAGAAGGTCAGAAGGAGAGTCACCAGGTGTTGATTACTTAATGGTGCAAATGCAGTCCTTGGTTTTGTAATTTCAGTCGATCAGGCATTAGGTTAAGCAATATTGCCATTGGCAATGTCTAAACTCTGTGATTCCATTTCCTGATGTGGAATTCAAGGACCACATATCATATTTTCTGGTTCAAACACCCCCAGGGTTTATTTGTTTGACTCAAGCAATTTTCTTGCGCCCTGTGTTCATGATGCAAGGATTTTACGTCATTATTTACAAAATATATTTAGCCATTACAGCTACAACTTATCATTTCTGGAATAAATGCTAGAGGGGCTAATCTTCAACTATACCTTAAAGACTTGACATTTATGCAGGGCCCAAAATTTCACCAAGAAGTAACCATGCACTGTAGTAGTAATTTGCAATGTGCTATCTGTTGTTGTTGTTGCTGTTGTAGTCGTTCTTCTATTAGATGTTATGGACAGAATGATAGTGGAAATACAAAGTGCTTACAGTAATTATCATATATCAGGGTACAACAACACTTACCGGTAAGCATGAACCTCATAGTCAACAATGACAATAATTACTGAATTAATTAGAATGAGCAGGGATCGACACTAACACTTATCCGCTTTCCATTGGAAAGTAAATTTACTTCTTAGAAAGTAAAAAATCAAAAATGAACCAAAATACTTATCTGATCTGGGAAGTAAACTTTGGGCCATGCGGTAAAGTAAATTTTACGTTAAAAAGGCTTACAACTGTAAGTGAAAAACCTTCGTATAAAAAATGATCAAATGATAAAAATAACCATCCAACAACGATTTTCCACTTTCAAAAAGGATGAGTCTACACCATTCTAGCATTCACCGATCCGCTGTATTGGAATATTGAGAGAGCTGCCGATCGAGTAGGTCTGGGTATAATTAATACACATGGTATTGTGCAATCAAATTCACCATTTTGGATTCCTCCTCTGGCCTCTAACAGACATGTATTGCAAAGGATCCCGTGTAGACATGGGTCTACTTCAATTTGGGTTTGGAAAGGAAAATTTTGAGATGGAAAGTATAATTTGAAATCTACTTTCCAAAGTGGAAAGTTGTGTAAAAAGTTAGTGTCAAGCCCTGATTAGCATAAACACAGGTGGCCCAAGGTCACAATGCAAGGAGTTATAATTTATTATTATTGTTTTTTACTTTTATGCAAACATTCGACCAGAAGATATATGGCCGACAAATACTATTACATAACGATCGAGTTTTACTACACAAAACGTGACTCTCACCTTGCAGCTTATGGAGGTGTTGTGTTACAATGGTTTGAATTTACAAAGGTTTGTATGGGAAAACAGTAATGGACATTATAGCTCAAATTGTGATATTTGGGGAATATAATTGACTTACCTCAATGCCTTGTTGTCTTTTCTATTGTCATCTTGCTTCTCAGCTCGATCCAAAGCCTTTTAATTGAGTTATGGATTTTTGATTTTCCACTCTTAAGAACAAGTTAAGGCTGCACACTTGATTCCATACTGCCCACCGTTCGAAGTGAAAAAAAAAAAACCATTGGAAGCATGCCAGTTGCCTCAATTCCTATGCAGAATAGTAGTACAGGGTAAAGCGCTCCTTTTCAGTAAAATTCCAAGCAAAATTCAACTCCATAGCGTACATTACAAAGTTCTGAATCGAAGCCAGCTCGCCATCTGGACTTTGTAAAGATACTGCTAGGACCTGCCATGGACACATTCAAAGTGTGGATGGAATGCTGGGTGAACAAATTGACCCTGACCAGGGAGTGCACAGTTCTCAACGTGATTTTTTATCAAATGTGGTACTACAACTGTCCACTTTTTGGAAGAAAAGAAGTTATCACATTATTTGAAATAAGTTTTCTGTATGAGGGTGCCGACAGATCGTAAAGTACACTACGTCAATTTTATTGCCAAAATATCACAATTTCAGCTATAATGTCTATTACTGTTTTTCCCAAACAAATCTTTATAAATTCAAACTGTTGTAACACAACACCTCCATATGCTGCAAGGCGAGAGTCACGTTTCATATATTCAAACTTGGTCGTTATGTAATAGTATGTGTTGGCCATATATCCTTTGGCTGAATGTTCACATAAAAGTAAAAAAAATAGATAAAAAATAATAATAAACTCCCTGCATCGTGAGCTTGGGCCACCTGTGGTGTAAAGAGAAAGAAAACTTGTTCACTAACAATTTCTGCAGTGTGTCCTCGGTAAGTGTGGTAGCACTTTCCTGACTCAGCACTCCATAGCTACAAAAAAGATAGTAATGGCTTGAATCAGTCCCAATCTCATTTTATTGGATAGATGCAGTAAATCATCCAAAAGTAAACAATGAGGATTTTGGAACATCAGTCATAATCAAGGTCAAATGACAATTATATGCAAATTCTTTTGCTACAAGCAGGGAACAATTCTAGAAAAAAGATTTGTAAAATGTGACCTAGGTTTTTAACTCACGACCATTGTAATTTAAGGGTTTCATGCAAAAAGGGCATATGTAGCATTTTGGGGCGATTTCTATTTTTTGCAGGATCGAGCTAGTTTTTGGCAGACTGACTTGTTCTGACATGAAAAGCATCATTGCATAATTGTTTTTGTTGATTTGCGCTTTGTTTTCGAGAAATATCCTATGCAAAAAAACTCAGTTTTCCAAGCCACCCCCCAACTTAACAATACAATTTTGTCAAACTGAAAATACCACTGATTGGAATCTATCAAGTTAAGTTGGAGCAGATTAGTCATAGCCCAATTCCCTTTGAAATTCAGCAATAAAATCAGTCAATTTATCTGTTTATTCGTGTACTGAGTTTGATGAATGCTCAAAGCTAGTACATGGATAGTGACTGTGATAAACAGTACTGCAACTAATGAATAACAATCAGTGAAATTGGCAGAAGTAAACAGTCAGGTCCACTTAGCTATTGTGCTGCAGAACTATCCAATGGAGAATGCAGATATCTGATCGATAACAACTGCCAGTTTGTAACTCGCTGATTACTCATTTGTGACACTGACCATTGATTTCTTTCCTCTCAGTTGTTATAAATGGGATTACCAGTCTCAAAATAAAGTTTATACCATCCAGTTCTATATGTAATTACATTAAAGATATCCGTGCTTCCAATGCATGGTCATTTATTTAGTTAAATGCAGGATAGAGTCCTTCATTAGTCCCAATAAGTTGTAAAAATTAATATAAATTACTGGTTATAACTTATATCAAACTGACCAAATAGTAAGCAGTTCCTCTATTCACAGAGGTGTAAGATGAAGCTGCATTTGCTACGTCAGTTGACTGAAGGTATCATATAATATAGTACCTCTTTTTACTTATTACTTATCACTCTGATAATTCAATTTAGTGTCCAGGGTGCTAAGCAAACTTACTTTTGCTGGCTCAAAGAGAGGGGGTGCTCATTGGGGATGACTTGTGAGGCTCTTACTTCTTTTTGGACACAAACATGTGAATGTCATAGAGTGCTTAATAAACAGCAACAGATATTTGAAATCAGGAGCTATATGGAATACTTCATAGACTAGTGATAGAGCTGTTTGCTTCATCACTCCAAATCCACATGTTCAGGGTTGCATTCACATGAGAAAACAGACTCCATAATTCATGTGTCTAGCCAGTCTATTCTATGATTTTTTCCAGGGGTGTTTATTGGGAAGGGTCACTGAATGAAATAAAACAACACTCAAGGGGAAGTGCTTACTGCAAGGGGGCTCAAATTTAATTATTAAACTTTATTCTACTCTAAAGATCTGGTAGTGGTGGATTACTTCATGTAAAACTGTGATGTTGGTCATACCTTGCATGTCTTGTCAAATGATCCAGTGGCTATTTTGTCCCTAAAATGTGGAGAGAAAAGGACAACTGAGTAACTGCTTAGAGAATAACTTTTCAGTGGAACAGTGGGGATTGAAATCCACCAACCACACTTGACAACTGAAGCACATCTTTTGATGTCACTACTGGCAGGCAACCAAAACATGAGATGACTAGATTGTGAAACACAAAATGAAAATTGTTTATTACCCTTCAACTGCCGGATCTTTAAGAATCTTTCAGTTACTTAGGACAATGACTATGGGTTAAATACAGTGTCTGTGACTTTTTCCCCATTACCATGTGTACATGTATGTACATGTGAACACATGTATAACAAGTAACTAATTATCTCTTGTTACATCACTAATTGTATCTAATGATTGGTTCTCTGTGCGCCTATTTGTCATGTAATCAGTTCACAATCATGTGGTTGTCCGATTACAGGTATCCAATTTCAACTTTTTGTAATTGGATACCTGCAATTGGATACCTACGCCATACGCACATCAATTACATGATCTTTAAGGGCTTCCTTCTTAATGTTCCCTACAGTTTTTACAACTTAGGGAAAACACTACTCACTTTTTCATTCAAAAGAAGTTCTACAAAGATTTTAAGAGTGAATGCCTGTAAAAATCGACCAAAATCGCCTATCAGAGGCATAAGTTGAATAATTGATTTCGCTTGTATTTTTCCCAAAGATGGGTCTTAGTAAGAATAGAAAGGGACCATAGTTAGTTTCTGCTAATACAGCTTTCTTTGGTAGAAATATGCCAAAAACAGTTTTGCCCCAATTGGCCTCAAAATCTACTTCCGCTTTTGCTGCATTTTCTGAATACTTGATTGCTTCACACTCCGTACAATGGCTACTTGAGAATCTTTCAATGGATTTTGAATGAATTAATGAATGAATGAATGAATGAATGAATGAATGAATGAATGAATGAATTATATTCAGCTCAGGTCTTTGTGGTATGACTGAGTGAAAAATGAAATAAATTGAAGTTAGTTTTGAGCCCGAAACGAGATCAAACAGACGCGCAAAATTTTACAATGTGTTGAAAGCGAATTATTGGATTAAAACATCACCTCATTTTGTTATGGGCTTTAACGTAAAACACCTTAAAAACACTTTCTATGGGTCAACTATACATCCACCTGTTTGAAAATCAAAAAATATCTCTGTTCAAATAGTTTTAAGAATCCTGGCTTGGCCTGTGTTTTTCATCAATTTTGCTCAAAATCCGCTGTTGGAATGTAAACTATTGCGTGACGCGGGTATAGTTGTTCGTTTCCGACAACCTGCTCAAAGAAATCGCGGAAAAAATAATGAAAAATGTTTTCTTTTTGTGTAAGTTCATATAAACATCTATATTTTTTTCATTTGCCTTGCAACACCCACAACATCCCTGATAAAAAACATGACTGTAGGCTGCTTGGGGTAATAATTGTACATGTTTCACACAGCTTGTTCATTTCCAGAAGACGTGTCACTTGATACTTTCGCTGATTTCCACTGGCCATTTTAGAGATAAATTTAACCAATTCTCTATCGTTTATGGCAATTAGATCATTGACAATTTAACTCAAGTGGAAATACGATAAATTATAAAAACTACTAACTGCGTGATGCCATCTCATCTCTTCTATGACTTCTACGCTATGTAGAAAATTTGTACATTTACAATATATCCAACCTCAACTAGAAAATAACAGCAAAAGGCCGGATTTCTAGAATTTAGCCGCGAAAGGGATTACATTTGCGTTTCAATCATATTGGAACACGTTTGTCAAAAAATCTACTTTTTCTACTTTAGTCATTTGTTCAATGTAGTGACACTTTGAGACAAAGTATTGTCCGATTTGTTACCTGTCTTTTAAATTTGCAGGTCATAATATTGGTAGACAAATATACATTACAGTGGTCGATCTAAATTAAAGTACCAGTCTCTGGGTACAACTCCGCTGGCCCCTTTTGCTGAAAAACATCACAACATTTTTGCCTCCTAAGGTGATTCATTAGGAATAAAAGTTGTCAAACTATTTTTTGAAACGTTTTTGAATGTTTGAAAAATGCAACAAAAGGATAGGTCACCGTGCTTAGCCTGCGTGTCAGCGTATCCACCCCCGAGGACAATGGGGGATGGATATTGCTCACATAGGCTACATCATGATCATGCTTGGATAAGAGATATTTGATGGGCCAACTCCATTTGTGCCTGTACTAGTTCTAATCACTTGCCTTTTTTACTGGTTCACACATTACATTTTGCAGTGGCTGGAAGCAAAGTTTATTAAACATACCTAGAACAATAGTGGTGTACTTAATCCACATGCCTGGAACAGTTGGAAGCTGGTCAAAATGTTTGCGTGTAGGTAAAAAGTATCAACAGGGGTGAGATGCTCTCTGATCCTACGTGAACCTGTTCTTTTCATAATGAATTGGGAGAAAGTTTTGTTTATGACCCGTTTGGCTTTTGGACATTTTCCCTCTGACGTTTTTGTGCCTTGATATTTCTCGAGGGAGCCTACATCTTTCAGTTCGCCCTTTCTAGACCAAGACCAAGGGATGTACGATGTGATGGACAAATGGGCATTGTATGGAAATTTTGTGGAGTGGTAAACATCGCAACACGTGCATGAATCAGTTCCACTTGACTCTTCACACCTTGAACTTGTGTGTTATATTTTAAGTACTTGTTATCTCTGTTGACTGCCTTTGGTCTTTGCGATCAAAGGAGCACTGTCTACCAACTAGTGACTTTTCCTTAGGGGTTATCACTCAGATCATGGTGCATCAAAGAAACCATTGAATCTACTCTGGTCATGGATTTATCAGCTTGTCGTTTGATGCACCACGATCTGAGTGATTTGGATCACTGATCGTGATCAATATAACCCCAAAGGAAGGCAGCCTTAAACGAACAGCAAACATCCATCTTGTTTTGTTCTCAGAAATCGGTCATGGAAGAGCAACAGTTTCAATGAAAACTGCTTTCAAAATATATAACTTGGTTAATCGATTAGCCAAATTAACTGGTCGCCAAAAAGATGGGTTTAAGACTGACGAAAAACACCTGTCAATTTCTTTACTTAAACATAATATTAGAGAGCTTGTCAGTTGTTTGGAAAGGAAAATTCGTGGACAGGTATTAAACTTATCAGACAGTGCAGCATAACTTGGAAAAGCAAACCGACCAGCACAGTAACTGGTCAATTTAAATTGAACACTTACCGTGATACTTACACTCTGAATGTCTTTTATCTTTAGTAAAAACTTAATATTTGCTTAGTTTTAGGTAGCTACATTTTGAATTTACCTCTTCATTCTTTATAGAAGAAGAAAAGAAACCAAATGTCAACAAGCTGAGAGTACAAATAAAGCGTAAGGAATCCTTTAAAATCGCAAATACTAATTTAATTACGGCATTGTAGCATTCAATCAGATCACGTAAGGTTACAAACAAACAATATTTCTAAACTTGTTATTACGCTTAACAAATGAACTTAAAACAATTTCCTTTCTAGAACTTGTCCTTGTAATGAAAATGATCAAATACAGAATGACAGCTTTTAAAACAACAGAGCAGTAAAACCAAACTCCAAGTAAATTGTTTTTAATTAACGTTGCCGAGATTTCGACGCCTTTGAAAATATTAAAATTGAAAGTGTTCCTTTACATTTTCATTGTTTCACCCTAATGTTCTCAGATAGCTTTCTGCCGTTTGTTGGAAACAGTTTAATATGAATTCAGGGTGACTGGCCACGTCACACAATTGTTTATATTCCAACGCAAATTTAGGGCAAAAATTTATCAGAAACACAGGCCAAGGCAGCCTACTTAAAAGCATTTGCCCAGATATATTGTTTGAATTTCAAACAGGTGGGTGTATAATTAACCCGTAGAAAGTGTTTTTATGGCATTTAAAGTTATAACCCATAGAAAAATATGGCGATATTTTAGTGCTATAATTCGCTTGCAACTCATTATCAAATGTTGTGTGTCTGTTCAAGCTCGTTTCAGGCTCAAAACTAACTTTGATTTCTTTTATTTTTCATTCAGTTGTACCATGAAGACCTGAGTTGAATATAAAAATCATTGAAAGATTCTAAAGTAGCTATTGTGTGGTGTGCGATGTGATCAAATATTCAGAAAATTCAGCATAACCAGAAGTAGATTTTGAGCTCAATCAGGGCGCAATCGTTTTTTGCAAATTTCTTCTCAAAAAACCTGTATTAGCAGAAACTAACTATGGTCTGTTTGCTTTCTAGCTAAGGCCAATCTATGGGCAGAAAATGAGCAAAATCGATTTTTCGACTTGTGCCGGTGCTTGGTCTATATTTAAAGGCAGTGACTCTTAATCTCGAAATTTGTTATTGATACAATTAATTAGTAATTGGACCTTGTGTCATACAATTCAGGGAAAAATCCTGCTCATAATTTCAAATCGACCTCACCCTGCATGCTTGTCTGATTTTGAAATTACTCACCTGATTACACCCTCAGTTGTACTGCACTCAGTCCAATTACTATTACATAACAAAACTTCAGTGCAATTGTGGTATCAGCAGGGGTAATTTGCAGAACACCGAGTGCTGAATGCAGAATGCCAACTGCCAAATGCACTGTTTGCTTGTACTAGTTTCACTCATGTTTGCTTGCAGTTAGCTTTTATTTGTTGCAAAGGGTCAACTACAATACAGCCAAACCTCTATTAAGCAGTCACCTATTAAGTGGCCACCCCCTATTAAGTGGCCAGTTATCAAAGTCCCAAAATTATTGTCAGTAAAATACCGCAAATAAAACCCAATTAATTGGCCACCTTTTGGTTGTCCCAATGAGGGGTTTCCTATTCTCTTTACACACCTAGCTTAGCTTTAATTTGGAAAAGGTGATGACAGATAAGAGTCTCAAATAGAAAGGGAAAACTGATTAAAATATTCAAACACATATTTTTTTATGACTGCCTTGATGTGATTCGATGTTCACAAAGAAATTAACCCCATGGTAAAAAATATTAAAAGCATGTACACCAACCCCTATTAAGCGACCAACCCCTATGAAAAGGCCATCTCCCATTTCCCTGACTGCATAATGCTGACCTTTGCAACAAATAAAGGCTAACCTCAAATATGAGTAAAACTAACCACAAGCAAACATTCCATGCTGCATTCTGTATTCAGCATTCAGCAAAAAACCCCTGCTGACATGTGTAATATACAGATTTAGCCAAGCCTAAAAGCAGAGCTCCTGGGCTGGGTTGTTCAAAGCCTGATTAAGCTAACCCAGGATAAGCAAGAATTTTGATTTGCAGTGAGTCTTTCTGTATATTGTTTAGCCTTCTGTTTTGAGTTTGAATAATCTCAAAATACACAAAACAAAAGCAATGAAAAACATTTGTATACAAGAAAAATTTATACTTTTGTCAGTTAACTTTTAACAGGCCTTTAAAATCGGTTTTGTTTACTTGCAGAAAATCTAGTCATTAGATTTTCTTTATAATTTGCATCCAGCAAGCTTGTAGTGATGCTCACAAGTTAACACTATTTTAATAATAATTTAACAGAGAGATCTTTAATTATCCCTTGTTGAAGGTTCACTGGAATATCCAGAATTTCCTTTGTTAAAGTTCAAATGTTCTTCAACACTCCAGTTACTTATTTCCTAAGGTATTATCACGCTAAATTTCTTGAAATTCTAATGTTCTCAAGAAATAGGCGTATTTCCAAGAAAGCTATTCTACATTCAGTCCAATTTTTTTTCAACTTACTACCCAGGTGCTGCATTTAAATGGGTGTTTTCACAAAGAAAAAGCTGAAAATTGCTGGGTTCTTTGCATCCTTACCTTATTAACATACCTTTGTAATAAAAGACTAAAACCATCAATACACTGTGTTCAATTATGAAGAAAAATAGTACAGATAGCGCGTGTATTGAGCAAATAACATGATCGCTATCTTGACATCTTTTTTTTGCAACCTGTGTGCGTGCGCTGAATTGCATTAGCAAGAGCGTGTGTGAAAACTGTGTTCAGCCACCTTAACCAGCTTCCAAACAACCTGACCCTGTTTACAACAAGTTAACCTCAGTGAGCCCCCTATCCAATTGAAAACCAGCACTTGGTCAGCGGTGAACTTAAAACACATGACCTTGATCGGCTCTAAACTTGAACCCACGATATGGTCATGTGATACTGGTCAGCAGATACCTTGTTTTGACAGGTGCAATTGACCATAACAGGGATGTCCAATACCCAGGGTAACATCTTTGTGTTGAAAACCTTTCTTGTATAATGAAGTATTAAATGTACTTCCACGTTTCCCTGCATGAGTAAATGGTCTGAAATTGATCATGGAGTTCAATTACTAGGGAACTTGTCAGTTCACAGTTAATTGCTATAAATTTACCACGCTAGCAAAAATGGCTAATAGTTTCGAAAATAGAGTATACTTGGGCATGTTCTTTTTTTTTCTGTTTCTGGCTCTTTGTCTATAAAGAGTGAAGGAAGTACAGAATTATTTCTCAGCCTGGCTTGCCTGGCTCTAGAAAGCGATGAAATTGTAGATAGATATCTCAATCGCTGCTTTCACTGGGTGCCTAGCATGTGATAAATTTCTTTCCCATTGATTTAAGTTTCAAGTTTCATTTTTCTTTAAACCGCAGACAAAAATATATATTAACCTGTTTGCATTGAATTAAAAATAACATAAAGCTCGGTATTGTCATAGTTCTCCTAAACACTGAAAAGCTTTATTCTGTGCTATTAATTCTCATATCATGTAAGTCTCTTTACGGTATAAATGCAGAACTCTGCTTGCGTGGTTTGCTATTTATATAAGTAATAACTAGTAATAACCGCACATTTTTCAGTAATTAAAAAAAGAATTGCTGCTAAAAACCTATAAACGCTGGTAATTGCGGAATGAATAGAAATTTTTGCGATACCTTCTTTTAATGTAAACAGTAAAATATTACAAAAACTGATTCATCTGTTGATCAATGGCATCAAAATATGATTTCTAAAGTTTACTATACATGGTCTCCTGTATGCAATTAAATGGTACTGATTTTGGACTCCAAATGTTTCCTCAAAAATTTTTATATTATGGGCTATAACTTAAAGAATGCCAGAAATGGAAAGAGTGCATCAAAAATACCAAAATGGCCAAGTTTGAGGCCCCTTGAATTAAAGAGTAAGTTTATATGACAGTTTGAATTTTCAGAAAATTTAGAGGATTTGTATATAAAATGTTGCTCTCCAGCAACTTTTTCCATACAAATCTTACTCTTTTAAAAATTCATACCATCATAAAATCTCCTTCTTTAATGATGGGGGCCTCAAACTTGGCCATTTTGATATTTTCAACATGCCTTTTCCATTTCTGGCATTCGTTAAGTTATAGCCCATAATTTTATAACAAATAGGTCACGTGATGGCTTAGCTGCGAAGGGCCTATTGCATCTCTGCAAGTGTAGGATTTCAGAATTTTCCTGGGGGCATGGCCCCAGACCAACCCTCCAAGTTAACTTTTTTTCTTGGTGGCCATTTGGCCACTGAATGTTTATTTTTGGTTGCCAGTGAAACATTTTAGTGGCCAAAATATAGAAATTAATTGATTAGTAATTAATTGATCAATATTAATTAACTAATTAATATATTAATTAATAAATAAATAATAACTAATTAATATGCTATCCCTGAGCTAGTTCTATAAAAAGTGATTCAAATAATATATTTTTATTATTGATGATCATATCTTCCATCAATCAACCGACCCTTCAAACACCCTTCATGGAGGCAGCGTGGCCGAGTGGTTAGGGTGCCGGACTTGAAATCCAGAGGTTGTGGGTTCAAGTCCCACTCTGACCACTTAGCTGGGGTTGTTTCTCTGTAGACCCTAGTTCAACTCCTCGCTCACGCTTGTAAAATAGCCAACTGGTCTGCCTCCCGCCAGTTGGGATTTTTAACCATGTTATGTTCATTTGCATTATTTGTTTCATCATTTGATTTCATTGGCCCTGAAAAACCCCATTGCCATTTTTTCCATCGAAAAAAACAACAACAAAAAACACACAAATACTGTGAAATTTAATTCACATTTACAGAGTAAAACACAAGTGTAGATAGCACAGATTATACCAAGTAGCAACTAGATTGTAGAAAGTGTTATCCAGCGTATCTAAACAGGGCTGGAAAAAAGAAAATGTCCACTCATCTGGGACAAGTACATCCTCCTCTTGGGCAAGTAACTTTCTCTACTCGCTTGCCTCACAGGCAAGAGCCCAGGCAAGCCATCCGCCGACTAAATATTCTGATGACAATTTTGAAACAAAGAGTAAATTTTAGGTACATGGGTAATCAAGTGTTAATATGAAGCTTGATAAAAATTATAGCATTGTTTTGTTGCTTGTGTGATGCATGTGGTTACCTAGCACGTGATCAAAACCTGCCCTGATCAAATTTCTTTCCACGGATAAAAATAGCTATGTTTGTCAGGAAAACACTGCGAAGGTGCTGTGCAATGTTTTACACACATTTTCCAGTTTCACTGTACAAACCCAAACTTGACAATGTATCAAAGATGTAGAGACTGTACACGTGCATTGTCTCACGCTCACAGGTAAAATTCTCAAATGCTAAAGTTCGGTCAAGCAGAATGAAGTTTGTCACACACAAAGCTTAATGACATACTGCAAATTTGTTCTTTCTTATGATGGATTCTTGGAATTAAACATTTCATTTCATTTTAGTATCAATTTCAGTGGGTTAAAATGGCAGAAGAACTTATTTTTACAAGTGAATTCATAACGCTCAGAGCATTTTTTCACTCTGGATGATGGTCCGCTCAAGCTCTCGCTTTTAGTCACCAAGCTGGCGACTTCCCTTTCAAGTTAGTCGCCACCTCCAAAATTCTAGTCACCATGGCAACTAAAATGGTCGCAACTTGGAGGGTTGCAGACCCCCCTAGCTTAACAACGCACTCCAGGCTTTGCATGTTTTCTGCCCGGTTGTCATGCCCTGATGCCCGCCTGCTCAAAAATTTATTGAAACCCTTGTAAACACCATCATGGTCATAATTTCCTTTGTTTAAACTTGATCAGTTATTAATGAGTTTGAGAATATTAAGTAAAAAATGTTAATCAATGTTTTGTTAGAACATACCCATAAGGATTGTTAAATGCAATTGCATACACAACATTCTTGTGTCCTTCCAATACGTGAAGCTCTTCTCCTGAGGCTGTATCCCACACTTTACATGTTCTGTCATAGCTTCCTGTTATGAAACTTAATATCATTGTGAATATCATGAGTTAAAATAATAATCAAAGTTAGTTAAAAGCTTGTTCAGCTGTCTCATATCTGTTGCAGAGTTCACCACTCTGCATTTTCAACAAAATTACCTTGTTGTGTACCACCTTGGGCTACACAAACACACTATAAACTTTTAAATAATACAAAGTAAAACGTTTTCATAAAATATGAATAATAATGTAATTTTCTGAGAAATTACTTCTAAGCTTTTAAGTTTTATTTTATCATATTTAATTCATTTATTTTTTCCCGCCTTTGATAACCACCACTGATGATCTTGCAACTGAAGATGGAATATTTGCAACTGGAGTATTTGCAACTGAAAATGGATATTGGTCATCCGAAACATGTTTTGCAAACTTAGAACTGTGTGCTTTTATCTCAAAATTATAAGATAAAGTTTTCTTGCAAGCACTTTTCTGAGAAGCTATAGGCCTTTTAGCTCAAGGGTGTCACTGTAGACCATTTTAAGAACCTTAAATTGGTATAGGAATTTTTGCTGAGCTTGGCAACTGTACAGCCTCAACTAAATTTAAAATGGAACTGTAGCAGCATACAGGTTATAATAAAGCTGAGATTATGATTAAAATGTACATCAGTAGAATTGTACACACAGAAATGAAATCTGTACATGAAGTAATATAAGAGAGTGTGTTTCATCAAATATCCAAACACCGAGAGGAGAGTTGAAAATACAACGCACAGCGGAGCATTTTTGACGAAGTTCGAGGTGTTTGGATAGCTGATGAAACACTGTCTTGAGTGTTTGATATATCTTCTCAATTAAAACAAAAACTAAGGAGTAAACAGAGAAGTAAAATCGTCAAAAGCTATGCTAATTAAGACTGGGTATAAGTGAACCAGGGTGCGACAAAAAGGCTGTCTGATAGCATGGGACTAGGGAAATGATCAGTCAGGCTAGCGCCTTCTTATCACAGGTTGCCCAACGGGCGAACATGAAGTGGAAATGAGTGAAACACAAAGTTGGTTGTTGTTTTTTCCTCTCTTCTTTTTTCTAATGACAAAATTCAGATATAATACAAATGTTCAGAAACAATACAAATGTTTTTTTCTAAGATAGAGTAAATGTAAAATTTAGGCCCCGTCCAAACACTGCTCCACTCATGTGCCGAACCAAACTTGATTAAGTTTGACTTAAGAGTGACTTTGGAGCGATGGCTGGTTCAGACAGCGTACTTGCATCGAACTTAATTCAGGAAGCTGGTGGTAACAATATTCGACAAGAAAATATGCGTTCTGAATTCATGAACTCTGTCCAAATAGAAAAGCTGCAACTAACATTTCGCTGTTATCATGCTGTTATAGCAATATTTAGGGAAGCAAATTCAAACTCAAGGTTCAGTGTTTGTATTTAGACAGGTTTTCTCCCGGTTAAATTGACTTGTTAAAGGGAAATCTAATAAGCCGGGCTATTATCATGAAGAAAAAGCAAAAAATGAATTTGCGCTAAAGAAACTCGCTTATACAGTCCCGTTTCTCATAAATCAAAGGCATACTGGTATTTTGTTGACTTCATTCTTAGCGATGACTATGACCTTCATGCATAAGTGGTCACGCCACTCAATTTTGAGCCAATCACGAGTCCCGTTATATGAAAAATAAATTACAGTAATTTACGCATTAGGTTTGACACATGAGGAGGACACTGTATGAATCAGCTGCTGCTCCAACGTCGCATAGTGCGACAGACCCTGCCGAAATTAATGTTGTTTGTCGCACTTAAACTAACCGGCTGAACCAAACTGATTCAAATGCCGCTCTTCTGCCATAATTAACTCATCAGTTAGGTTCAGCGCATGAATGGAGCGGCGTGTGGAATGGGCGTTAAGCGACCAAAATCAATTTTTTCCTGACTGCATGTCCCGACAGCACAGCGGCAGTGCCAGAAAAAAACTTGCTGTAACAAGGTTATCACATATTTTCATTGTTATATGTAGTTAATAGTTAGTACACAAAGTCAATTCAGTGTCATTTGTCTAATTGTCTTGAAGCATACCTAAGAGTGCTGGATCTGTAGCAAAATTTCATTTGATTATTGCGGTCTTACGCATTTTATAAATGGCATTTTATAAATGCATACAGACCACTAAGTCAGAGGCCGATCTTGACGCTATGTCACTCTGAGGATGAGATGACACATGACAGACCTCTGGGAGAATAAATAGTCCAGCAGGTAGACTGGGTACTAGCAATTGCGACTCATTGTTTTCAAGTTGTTTCGTCGGCCATTGCTCCTGGCGTATCGTTGTCGTACTGAGTAACTGCAGACGGTTTACCTATTTTGTAAAAAATTTTGAAGAACATTATGTTGCAAATTAGTTGTAATTGTTCAAGGTAAGTTATTTCTGTTTCAAAATCGCTCTGTCTTGCTGTTTATGATTGGTTTTCTTCCATTCATTTCAAAAATTAACTGCACTGCCTTGTTTGTCCTTTGTTATTTCATTCAGGTTTCACTCAGTGATTTTCCTCGGTGATACAGGAGTTGTTTGCTCACGCAAGCCAACATATCTAGACTCGGCTTATGTTTAGAGGGGATTGCACTGATACTAATACACTTTTGCAAGCCCACATTCAATGGCTTGGAATCCAGTGCAGGCTGCACCACACAAGCTCTCACAAGCAAGTATTCTCACAAGCCAGTTTATTTAACAGGGTTATAAAAATATTGTATCGTGTCATAAGCCAGCAATCGGTGCATTTAACCGGCTATTTTGAAAACTGCCCCACCTATCCCAGATGCTAGTACATGTAGGTTAGTCCTGGGTCTGATATTGGAAAAATAAAATGGAAATAAAATTGTTCAGTTACTAATTTTTTTGAACCCAAATTGGATCAGAGGGAAAAAAGTATTTGCTAAAACAGTGCGTGACACAAATCGAAAGTGGAAAATGATTTAAGTAGCCATAAATTGTTCTACACCTCAGCCCATCATTTTTTGAAGCCAACAAAACAAAAAATAAACTATCTTAGAATAGTCTGGTAAAAGGTGAGTTTTTGTTCTGTACAAATGGCACTGCAATAATTAACAAATAAAGAAGCCTCGACTGTGCTCTGTTCTGTTGTAAAGCACACAGGAAGCGGTCGAGCACAAAAGAAGTGTAGGGAAAAACACGAGATGTAATTGGGTGTTTTTTCCTACTTCTTGAGTGCTCTACTACTTCCTGTGTGCTTTACAACAAAACAGAGTACAGTCGAGGATTCTTCATTTGTTTTATGATAAAGAATCCAATAATTTCCCCACACATTCGGCTGAATTTTCAAACCAAACTTTATTNTTTTTTCTTTGATCCGATCCGTGATCCAATCCGTGATCCGGTCCGTGATCCGGTCCGTGATCCGGTCCGTGATCCGGTCCGTGATCCGATCCGTGTTCCGGTCCGGTCCGGTCCGGTCCTGGTTTAGT